CTTGTTGTCACACGAGTACTGGTACGTGTCATCCACCTCGCCTTTGAGGGATGGATTGCTAGGATTTGTCAGCAAAACGGCTTCTCTATCTTTGAGAACTTGGCCTCCTGCACGATCACGAGCTGTTGGTATAATCCTTTGTATGTCGTCTGATATAGCCATGTAATGGAACCTGCATATACAATATAGTTAAAATTATTGAAGCTCACATTGAGCATGTAACTCATTTTAAAGTTTCTAATTCTTATATCTTACACGGCATCGTCAAGTTTGAAAGTAGTCCTCATTTCATCAATATTTAAATCGGGCCATCCTTCTAATGTTCCATTATTGCATATGAATAGAAACCAGAGCTTCCGCGCAACATTATATACCTGCAAATAAGATTTATTAGCTAGGCAGACTCTATCAAGTTATTGAATATGCTTTCCACATTAATAAACTAAATCCCACCTTATATCGACATTCAAGGGGTAAGAGTAACTATCGTAGGAATTCCATGTTCTCATGAATGAAATTTCGATCATATCTTCTGTTTGTGCAATAACTTTGAAACTTGCCCCTTCAAGCCTGCTTAATTTAACCACGTTAATTAGTATTTTCTATTACTTAAAATAAGTATTCTTGAGTGTGCAAGTAATGGACTTGATTTCTGAAATTCTAGAAGATCCAAATTTTTGAACTTACTCGTTGAAAAAACTTTTGCGCTCTTCTGACCTACACCACACCTAAATGTGCAAATCCATGTGTAGTAATGGATATTTTCTTTTCAAGAACTTATTTTACAGCTTTATTCGAAGTATTTTGTATTAGATTCAAAGCAACTCAACCTCGTCTATTTTCTTTTGAATGATATTCGAGGACATTCTTATCTCCTTTGTATTGTATTTCCGCGATCAAACCACTTGGAGATAATAATGTGAGTTTAACAATGCCACTGTCCAACATCACTTGCAAAAAAAAAAATTCTAATCAATTTGGATATACGTAATTGTCAAATATGTTTTATTGGGATAATGTAATTGACCAAAAAAAAAAAATTATTAACTTCTTTTTGTTTCTCATTGTCTTGTAATGTCTATTTCGATATACTAAATATGTAAAAAGTATTCAATATCAGAAACAGTATATGAAGTTCATGTAGGTAATTTAGGCTAACATGATCTTTCCATTTATTCAGTTTGACAGGAGAAGATGGCATCAGTTCTTGATCAGAGTTCTGTGGCATCCATCTGCAGACTTGATTATTAATTACTTAGGTCAGATATTGACAAATTATAAAACAATAAAGAGAAGCTAATTGAGTGTTAGGGAATTATTGAGAGCAATTACACAAGGCCCAAGCCCACACCATCAGGCCCAAGTGAGGTTCCATCCCAAAACCAATTGGTAATGGTTGGAGTAGCCCACTTGGGTTATATGGTGGATTTCTTTTCTTTTCCCAACCGATGTGGGACTTCTTGTTTGCTCCCAACAATGAGGAATTCTACATCTTATGTTTGCGCTCTATTTTTTGTAAAATAATGTGTTTTGTAATAGTAATTTTTTAAGAATGTGCGGATAAAAAGTAGTTAAAAATTTTGAATTTACTTGTAAAATTATTTTGTTGGGAGAACATGTGATTGAAAATTAGTGGAAAAAAATGATTTTTTAGATAATAAGGTTCAATCCCTGAAGAGTCGGAAAAAAAAGAAGAGTATCTATGGACTTATTTGAATATTTCACGAAGTTGTATGGGATAAAAATCAAAGTTTTTGTTCTCTTAATTCTTTAGCGGATAGAGACATATTTAGGTGTATTTGGTTCACTAAATAAGGTCAGTTGACGTTGTGGAGTTGGCAACAAATTCAAACAATCAAGAAAATGAGTAGTGAATAGTTGTAATATATAGTTATTAATACGAACAATCAAGAATTTATAATTATGTCTATCATTGGCGTGGATAAAAATTAGATTTTTAATAGATTTTTAAAAAAATTCGATAAAATGTATGATTAAAGAGTTGTGGATCCCATGAAATATGTTGTTAAAATTGATTATTAATTCGAATTTTTATCAATCTTTTAAGCTATACCAAACAAGGGTACGTTATTTGTTCTTTTTGTTGAAATATAAGGATAAATATATGGTATGTTATGAAGTTAATATCACAAATGCACAAGAACGAAAGATAATTGGCAAAGGAAAGGAAAATTCACTAAAATATAGAGAAAGAGTACTTACATATTTGTCTAACGTGTCTAAATCACAATGAAGAGCTAATTATAAAAAGGGAAAGTTTCAAACTCTAGAAATGGAGTCATAGATAGAAAGGAATGTTGAAAATGCGATAAGAAAAGAGCTTGGGCCGGATACATAGACTGCACGAGCGCTAGGCGGGCGGCAACTCACTATAAAGAATTTGACGCTACCGCTCGAGTGGGAGGCTAGCTGACGGCTAGCGGAAAATAGTCGAAAATTTCACACTGGTCCATATTTTGATCTCTTAAAGTCCAACACAAATTTCAAACTCTCAAATTGAATTTCAACTAGAACTGTCAAATAGATTTTGAATAGGATTTTCAAATAAAATTTCAAATAGAATTCGGGTCAAATTCTAATCCAAACATTTTTTGTGTTTTCTTGAGAATCACTAGGAGGACGAAAATAATATTACACCCTGTGTGAGTCACATTATTCTCCCAAGAATGCATTTTAAATAGTGTTTTGATGGAAAATATGTGGTTAAAAAATAAAGTATAGAAAAGTTTTGGATATGTGTTCTTAATATTATTTTATTGAAGAATGTGTGGTTGAAAATAAAATAGACAAAAATGTATTTTAGAAGACAGTAATACTTCATGTACAGAAGCATTACTCACAGAAATTTCACAAAATAGACACAAAGGGCGGGCCCCACATGTATTTTAAAAAAAAATAGCACAGGGACCACCTTTGTGTCTATTTTGTGAAATTTCTATGAGTAATGCTTTTGTACATGAAGCATCACCGTTTAGAAGAATGTGTACCAAACATGATATTAATATAAAAATCGTATTATGCGATGGTACCATGTCAGTTTTACTTCTAGAGGAAGAATGGATTGTGGAAACCATTCCCATTACGTAAAGAGCTTCTAAAGATTGGTGCTACGTTACTTAAATGTATTTAAAAACTTCATATTCAAAATTTCAAATTTAACGTCTTACAATGACATGCATGAGTCAAGGAATTGTTGTTATTATGCTCAATATTAATTGCCTGTTTGATAGAATTTATTTGGGAATAATGAGTTATGGAATAATATTTTTTTGGAGAATTTGTTGTTAAAAAGTAAGGAAACTTTATTGGTTTGTGTGTAGAATATTTTATTGATGATAAACAGGGCCTAACTTAAAAGTCAAAAGTATTAGAAAGTAATATAATAGTTAATAAATAAACTGAAGCAAAGAGATGATTTTGTAATGAACAAACCTGTCTGCGGTATTTGCAGCAGAACCAAGATGCAAGGACAATCAAAAAGCAATCGCAAGAAACCCTCCTAAAACTAAAAACCTTTGTGCCTTGTCCATATTTGCAACAACAAAAGAACCTGCTAACCAATAATGTAAAACATGTTTCAGATTATTAAAAAAAGTGAATAAAAAAGAACCATCCCACACCATATATGCCTCGACTCAGCATATACAGAATCATGCATAGGAAAAGAAAGCATGCAAAAGTTATAAGATCTACCAAGAAGAAGAAGAAGAAGGTGTCACCGGTCTAGCTGTTGGTATCAGTAGCTTTATGTTATTATTGTGTTTCAACCAATTTCTAGAGCAATGTTAATGGAGCAGTTCTTGCAAACTTAATGGAATTTATGGGTTCTTATATAGATTAATTTTAGAGGAAATTACGTAGCTCAAGGTATTTAAAATTTACTGTGCAAAGGTCAGGTCCTAATGTTTTTTAATCATAATTCAGGTATTAGGTTAATAAATAAATATTAAATCTTTTAATTATAGGTTTTAATTAAATAAAGCACAGATGGCGCGTTTCCTTAATTATAGTAATTCAAATTTGAAATATATTAACTTCCATAATTATCTTAACTTCCATTATCATCTAAAC